ACGACAGTAATAATTACAATTTTTTTATAGTATTTGTTCTCTCTCTCTCTCTCTCTCTCACGCGCGCGCACGCACAAAACATTAGATAAATTTAATAATTAAAATTTGAAACAATAAAATTTTTTAAATTTAAGATTATCAAGAAATACTATGTACCTGCATAAAATTAAGTATTAATTACAGAATATAAAGAAGACAAGAGAGAGAAGATAAATAGCATACATACAGCATTTATTGCAGTACTAAACAATTTGTAAATGATCAAAATCTGCATATTAATAATAAATATAAAAAATTATATTATTCATCTGGTATACGGTACACGTACAGAAACATTATAAAATTCTGTCGTTGAGACGTCTTTGACAAAAAAAAAAACTCGCTAAAGAACCGTGGCGTCAAGCTGGGCTTAGCACAGCAGATTAAAAATTGCAGACTGTAAGTTATTTCTTGACAAGCAAGTCGCGCAGCGCGCGTGTCTACTCGCAGTCCTTCCCAGCTTATCCGTATAAAGCTTCGGACGGGACTTCTCTTTTTTTTTTTAATGCTGCAAATATGCTCTTTAATGGGGTGCGAGAACGAAAGCGCTTAGATCCTCGCCAGTCTGTTAAAACATCTCTCGGTCCCTCCCTCTCTTCGCGGGAGTTAATTACGCCCAAGTGAAACGTTCTGCTCGCGTTTCTTTAATCTGTTGCAGCCGCGACGGTTATACATTTCCCGTGGAGACATCCCGATCGTGCAGCTGTAGCTGCGGCTGAATCGCGGTGCATTTAGTACGCGCGTCCGACTGCGTCTGAATTGTACACACAATCACCGTCGCGGGCTGTGTGTTTGCAGACACGTAACGCGAAACTAATGGACGCGAAATAGAAGAAAATTCGTTCGACATTTGTAGAATTGCGATCCTATCGGACAGTTTGTGTCGACTTACGGCGGTGGGTAGGTAAGACGAGAGAAAGTACAAATTACAGTGGCCTCGATCGTTTCTAGAAGTTGACTCTCTAATTTCAGCAAAGTCTATTGTCGTTCCTTCCCCCGGAGGATTAAATTTAATTAGTACATGTCTAGACTGCGTTACGTAGCCTTCGGAGACTTGTGGACTTAGTTGCTACTTCCGCCAGTTATAAAACTATTACGTCTCAGCCAGGGATGCAACTCGACCGAGGACAAATGTCTTCATAATTAATAACCATTTTCGTTTTGTGCATTCTACTGTTTTACTATTTATTAGTATTCATTGTCGTTTGTACGCGGAAAGATTTTGCTGAAGTGTCTGAAAATTTAGCTATATATAGACACAAATCTGAAAATAACTTTGTTGAATCAAAGTAATTATGGAGGAAACTCAAGCATGCTCCAAAACAATTTTGACACTCTAACAACTAGGTTGAGCGTTCTACTATGTAATTATTTTGACAGTCCAACGAAATTATTTTCAGAACTGCAGTATTTAGCTAAACTTTTAGCAAAAACCATGCATTCGTTCCATGTAAGAATACGATTTTTTTATGTTATTCGTATAATAGTAAACAGCGCGATTTCTTTCCCTACATGAAAAATCGGATGGAACATTGGTTGAAATGAGAGACATGAAGGACCGTGTGGTACGCTAAACGGCGTGCACCGCGGCACGATGTAATATCCTCGCGAATATAGTAGCACGGTAGCTTGAGCTTCTATCCACTTCCCTTAAATACGCTTAAAGCGGCGGCGGTCGAGCACGTTTACGTAATGCATGAATGTAACATTGCGTTACGAATACATGAATTCCTCTGCTACAGAGAAAACCGCACGGATCTGAAAATTCTGATTACTGTCGAGTTTCGCGTACATAATTACACCAAAGTTTGATCAAGCCGTCGTCGTCGGCGTCGCGTCGAGAAAGATTTCGCTGGTAATCTACACACATTTTTTTTTTATCCGAAAGTTAATCTCATTCCCGTTGCAAAAGCGTTCAGTTTTCGCCTTCATGGCACTTTTAAGAATCGATTCCTCGCGGGACAGAAAGATTCGCTAGGAGTTGCATCTCTTATTGAGCAGCAATTCGGGGACTCTAACGTTTTAAATTTTTAGCAACGTACCGTTTTACGACGCAATTTTGATTCTCTGCCCGTTCTTTGAAAACTCGAAAGACTCGAAAATAACTCGACGCGCGCCCGAAAATAAGAAATTTGTTCTTGACGCGCGCTACAGAGGTGACTCGATTTTTGCAAAGACTTTGTATTTTATTCTCGTTCCTAATTCTCTCGCTTCGACGATCCCGGGATGCTTCTCACCTGCCTTCGACTTTCGAGCCACTGACTTTCTTTGACTGACCCTCGCCGAGTATGTATACGGCCGAGACACGTAGCCGACCTGCAGCAGTCTCGGCTACACAGTATTGTGTCCCGGGGAACCCGATACGCGGAACCGAGGAGCCGAGAGAGCCGGCGATGGGCTCGGCGAACTCGGACAATTCTCGCGTAAATGCGAGCACACGATCGATCCGACGCAACGCGCGGCACGTTGCACGCCCGTATAACACGTCTAGGAACGTACGACTGATTTCGTCTATTCCGAGTTTGCCGAACTTGATTGCCGCTATTCAGGCCCGCCATCGGGAATGATGGCGACTAGCCCGAATTTGCCCGTTCGCAGTGCCAATTACCGGGGCCATTATTAAAGATTCGCAAGCGCGACAAAGCGGCCGCGATTTCAATTTGCTTTAACGACTTCGCGATCTACGTCGTTCGTCATTTCGTAAAAGTAACAGCAGAGCAAACTCCTTCTCTCCCCCCCCCCCTCCTCTCTCTCTTTCTCCGCTTTTTGTGCGCGGCTGATTTTGAAGGCGCGATCTTCAAAATTGCCTTAAATATCGCGCTTATCTTTCCAACTCTGTTTTTATTATTTTCAAAAACTTTAAGGAATTTTATTTTTTCAATTGTGTCAGCCGCAAAGAAGTCAACAAGAAAATATTATTTATGTATAATTAATATCTGGTGCCATAAATTCTCTTCCCAAAAGAAATACCGCATGCACGGAAAGAACGATTTTGTTGAAAGGTCTAAAAATTTTGCTAAGTACAGATCTGAAAATAATTTTTGTTCAATAATCAAAATAATTTGTGAGAAAGTTAAAAATGATAGGCGTTGCTACAAAACATTTTGATATTCTAGCAATCGTTTTGACTTTCCAACAAAATAATTTTGACTATTGAACAAAAATATTTTTAAAATTATTTAAAATTTTATTTTATTTATATTTTAAAATTATTTAAAATATTAAAATTATGTTCTGATCTGGATCCAGCAAAATTGTTCTTTCCGTGTGCGCAACGATAAAAATTAAATACAGGGAATTAACTAATAAGTAATTGAGCAATAAGTAATGTAGCAGCAATCAAGAAACAATCACTTACCCAAACACCATGAATGAGCGACAGCTCTCTCGCCTCTCCCTCGGGTTGATCCACTACGCCCATTTCCCCCGCCGTCCATTTCCCCAACGCACCGGCGACACATATTCACACTCTGCGCATTAGCGAATAACAAGGCGAAACGCGGGAAATAATGCGACATGCGCGCGTCAGAAATCCCGTATCTACACAACACGACGCGACACAGAGCGATCGATATCCGATCGAGCGACAATCGATCGTACGAGCGGCTTGGCGCGTTCGCGCCTACAAGTACAGATTCATTCGGCACTCCCGACTTGTCGCGCGCGACGCGATCGCGAGGATACGGGGAGCACGCCAACATGGCGGACGCGGCCGTCCTGCGAATATCGCGAAACGGTGCAGATCGCCGGCCGGCGGATCTGATGCGTCGCGACGGCGATCCCCCGATGCTCCACTCGACGTTCCCCGCTCACGGCGATGCTCCCCGGCGTCCCGAATGTTGAAAATACTCGCGGGATGAGCTCGAACGAGCGGACAAAGTTAAAGGAGACGAACGAAGACGCGCGGAGTGACGCCGGGTCGATCGCGCATAACGTGATCGATCGAAAGACGCGGTCAATCGCAGCCGCGCGGGCCGACTAATACGACAAGACGATCGCCCGTTACCAAAGCTCGGCACTCCCGATCCCCGTTTGTACGCGAAACTCGCCCGGGACGGATAAAGAGACGCGAAAATGCGGAGCTGTCGCGACTCCGCTAATACACACCGGCGCGGCCGGCGTCGCTTTACTCGCGAGAAGTGACTAGCGATTCGAAAGTCAATCACGTGACGTCGCTAACTTCACGCGCCTCGCGCGCCTCGCGCGCGGCAGAGTTGTTTTCTGGCGGCGCAACGTCTTGATGTATTGATACACGAATGAAACGTTATTGAACGAATTATACTATTATTACGAAATATATTATTATATAACGAATTATATTATTATATTATTGTGTAAAAATAATTAGAAGAACATTGAATCATTGTTTGTTTATAACTTAAATAAAATAAATTGCACCATAAATGTTTGTAGAATTTGGAAAAACTCGAAAAATAATTGTCGAACTATGGCGTAATTTCTTATTTTCTCGATTTTCCTAAAAAATATTGCATCAAAGTATTATACATTTTCCTAAAAGATATTATTTACATAATAATTAGATTTATATGTGTCTAATACAAACAGAATAGTAATTATTGCTAAAATAGTACCTCTATACAATATTACTCTTGTTACTTACTATTATTGCGAAATATATTATTATATTATTGTGTAAAAATAATTAGAAGAACATTAAATCATTATTGTTTATAACTTAAATAAAATAAATTGTATCATAAATGTTTCTAGAATTTGAAAAACTCGATTAAAAATAATTGTCGAACTATAGCGCAATTTCTTATTTTCTCTATTTTCCTAAAAAATATTGCATTAAAGTATTATACATTTTCCTAAAAGATATTTACATAATAATTCGACTTATATGCGTCTAATACAAACGGAATAGTAATTATTGCTAAAATAGTATTTCTATGCGATATTACTCTTATTACTCACGATGGTACGTGTTTTTGTTACAGGGAACCTGTTCGTGATAGCGGCTATCTTGTTAGAGCGAAACTTGCAATCCGTAGCAAATTACTTAATCGTCAGTTTGGCTGTCGCGGATCTTATGGTCGCCTGTCTCGTTATGCCTCTCGGAGCTGTTTACGAGGTACGTAAGTTATCACATTAAATTAAGACTGCAAGTTATTGTCATGCAATCTAGCTGTTGGCGTGCTATACGACGAACGCCTGGCAAGAAACGCCGTGCACAACAGCGAGGTTTTTCGCGCCTGAATATGACAGAACGCGACATTCGCGAAATTAGCGAAAGGGAAACGATTCACCGTGCCAGCGATATCAATGCAATAACCATCATAGGGATTCTAACGTAGGGATTCTCTGTTCCAGAAATCCATTTCAGAAATATGGTGAACATTCACGTTTATAAAGTACAGTAAAACTGGGTAATAAAATATTAACTTGAATTGTGTTTCTTTTTTAGTGAGTGAGCAATTTAATGAATGAGTAATTCGACAATGTTACCTTTAACGTTAGATTAAATAATTAATTTGGAATATCGTCAGTAAGGTACGTTTTTAGCACGTGTAATGAAGGACACGTGTACATTAATTTTACCGCATTTCATGCATTCGGCTCACATACGCGAAATAAAAATTTTTGCAAGTTTTTCAGTGGAACTGTCAAGCTGCCGGCCATTCCCTTCACACATAGAAGTACCGTTCTCTTTCCGCGCATTACACTTTCATTGTTAAACATTAACCTACGGTCCGTTGCAGCCATTCACGGGCTCATAATGTCCATAAGAAACCGCGCGTATTCACACTCGTTTCTTGCGCAATTTTATACAACACGCCGACATTGTACTTAGGAAGAAAAAAGAAACCCCCGCTCGAGGCGAGAGCCGGGCGCGCGCATTCCTCGAGGATTCGGCACTTAAACGCTGAATTCTTTTAACAAAGTTTGGAAGAGTTTGTTAATTGCGCTCACCGTGACGGCGGCGAAAATATCCCGAGATAGCGCGATGCATCTGCAGCTGCAGCAATTCATTGTGTTCGAGTTTTGCAAATTTTCGCGGAGAATTTCAGTAACGAAGAGAATTGCGCAGAAAATATATATATATATATATACACATATATATACGAATTACAGCGAAGAATTTGACAATAAATTGTTAACACGCGCGACTTTGATTCGTGAAAATTGCGGTAGAATTCGCAATCGGCAACGCGTAGTAATTACGACGAGAGATAATTTGCAGTGACGTTTCACTTTGTCACATATGGCACGTCGCGTAATTAAATGTTTAATATTATGCATCGAGATTTCGAAGGGGGAGTCGCACGTGGAATTTTAACGCGCGCATTTTATTAGAATTTTATCTCGATCGTGGCATTTTATAAATGCCATAATCTCAAAAAAGGACTTTAATGTCACGACCGTGATGCTTTGAAAAGCCAAAGTAGTTTTCTATGCTTATACGAGAGGTATCTCTTACCGGGGCTGTTTCTCCGGCGCAAACGCAAACGACGGCGGAGGAACGTTACCGCATATACATATTCAACAATTAACGCGCGAGCATACAGGGATAACAAGCGATACAGCGTGTGTACATACGAATGATTAGCTTTCGATTCTGCTCTCGAGGAATTTCGCTACATTCGCTACGCCACGTGCACTTGTACTTAATTAATAAACGCCCGGTAAGAGTAAGCATATAGAAGCCCCTTGCGCTTTACAACATAATAGGAATAACATAAGCGTTAATTATCGCGGTGGCGCTTCGCGCGCTATTTAATTAACAAAGATTTCAGCGCGGAGATTTATCGCGAGAGATAACACACATCCGAGCGCGACGCGGGCCATCTCGCCGTATCTCCAAATACAATCCCGTTTTTAAGCACGTCCCGTGCGTTTGAAATACAGCGGGATTGATAAGCGTCAAGATTATACGGAGAAAATTCGCGCGCCGGTGATACGAATTCGACTACAATCGCGATGTACGCTTGAAAGTATTTTCTCTTGCGCCTGCACTTTCGTTTCTAGGATATATCCATTTAGCTTGATTACGCGCATTAGCGGCCCGTCTCTCTTTAACGGCGAACCTTGTGTATATATATATATATATATATATATATATATATGTGTATATATATACATCCTTATTTAGATCCCTCGTTTTCCTAACGCAGCTTCTCTCACGTCTTACCATATACCCTATAGTCTCCCGTGCGCGCGCTTTCCTGCATGTATCCCATCTCTCAGCACTTTTCTTCCTCCTCTATACTTTTTTTTTCTTCATTCTACTTTTCCCTCATATTATATTTCCACACTCTCGCTACATTTTACGACACGCACCCGCGTCCTTCTCGCTTTTCACAGACGTCTGCAGCGTAAAATAACTTCCCATCTCGTTTCCTTTAAGTCCGCCTCTCCATCGTCGCGTTGGCGTATCGATATCTCGTCCGCGCGTTATCGTTAATGTGGCGCAATTCTATTTCGATCGCCATTCAGCCGACGGCCGACGCTGCATTAGCGATTTTTACCGTCGTACATGTAGATCGACGACGGGACGCGCGCATCCATCCTCTTAACACGGACACATAGAAATTTATATGTCTGCCGTTTAATCCAAACATTTGATGGATGTCCGCTTTACAACCGCCTCTTTCGCCCGGCGTTTATCGGCGGACGCCAGAAACGTGCACGCGAACGACTTCATTAACTGCGCGTGTACACGCGACGCTTGATTATAAACCCTTTGGAGACTCCAGAAGATGCTTGATATGAGAAGAATTGTTAAGAAGGGCGATTTGCGTAAACGTTTTGGGCGCGATTGTTGTGAATAATCGCAACAATCGCGCCCAAAATCTAACGCAAAAGTAATTTCCCTGCATTACGATCAATTACACGGTCGGTCCCAAAAAATTTCTGAACTTCATTTAAAAATTCAATTTCTTATATGTAATTTTTGTAAAATTTTATTTATTAATTATTGAAAATAAATTCCATTTAAGGTAACATAGTCTTTACAATAATTATTTCAACAATTTCTGAAAATATCACTGATAAGCTTTTTTTGAAAGAAAATTTTGGAAATCTTACGATGGATGGTCAAGCACTAGGACATCTTTTGAGATCTTTTGAGATCCACTTGTTTGAGATCTTCGCTCTATTATGATTTTCTCGACGATTATCAAAAACTCTCACTTTTAACGTCACAGCAAATAAATAATGTAACATAGAGAAATGCAACTCTTCAGACTTAAAAATAAATTTTTATAAAACAAAATTCTATATCATTTCAACAGACAGCTTTAGTTATATATAACATAGAAAAGAGTTCGAAAACTTTTGGGACAGACCGTAATCTAAAAAGAAAATGGTCCACAACGCGTAGAATGACTTAAAATTAAACATTATTTTCCGCGTTTTATATATGTGTTTCATAATTTATATATACCTTCGTTTTTAAAAGTACAAAAATATTTAATCTGAAAGGTTACTAAGGTTAAAAATATGTGGTACAGTTAAACTTGTATGAAAAGTTTCACGAGAATATGTGTGTGACATAGAAATGTCTCTTGCATACAATTAATAATTTCACGTATGATAGATTGTACCGCGCCACCCCTTGTCGCGAGAATCTCGTGCGATCGTCGACGTTGAAACTGCTTCTCCATCGACTTCCGTATGCTACTTTTGAAAGGTGTTTATATTTCCGGAAGATGGATGCGACTCATCAACTTCCGGAATGTTCTAATCTCAAAGTATAAAGGAACGGATGTCTATGGGCGGAGGAGGCCGCCGCGCGCTGAAAGGAGGACAAGGGACGATTGGCTTTCGAAGATAGATTCCAATACCATGAATGGACTTTTAAGCAGGCATGCATCAGTTCTCTCCCCTCTCTCTCTCTCTCCTTACTTTTTCCTCTCCCCCCTCTCTCTCGTCAGCTTTCTTCTCACAACATCACTCTTACTGTCTCCCTTCTTGTGCTCTCCGCCGTTATCCCTCCGTCGACCATGGCTCAGCTCGGATGTTTTCCCTTTCGACCCTCAATCCGTATTTTCTCGTGCTCCCTACTGCGTGAAGAAACTGTCGCCCGAAACTATGTGCAATCCTTAACATATTAATCAATCGAACGTAGCACATACATAAGGTGGATAAAAATAAATTCTGTTTATCCGATATTTGATTTGTCGTATAAAAATTGATTTTTGCTTATTTGTGGTAGAGATTGCCAAGTGATATCTTGAGAAGAATTATAGCAAAGAATTAAATAAGTATGTGGTATATACATCGACGGAAAAGTAAAATTAAATTTAGGCGTAGATTCCTAATTATCATTACAGGCAGATTTTTATTCCTTTTGACTATATAATAGCATTATGTCTTCAGTTTTTAAAAAATATGCTTTTATTAACAGTTATATTAATCCAAATAATAATATTCAAAAAGGAGCAATGGCTCCATTTATCAGAGCGCCTAACTTATTCCGAGACACTCCGGTGCAAGACTTGCGAATTTCTCGCGCGGTCGCATCGATTTCTCGCCTATGCTCGCACGACACGCTAAGCTCACGTTCTCTGATAGATAATTCTGTTTATTGCAGATAAACTCGGGGTGGTCACTCGGTCCGGAGCTCTGCGACATGTGGACCAGCAGCGACGTTCTGTGCTGCACTGCCTCGATATTGCATCTGGTGGCTATCGCGGTCGACAGATATTGGGCAGTCACGGATATCAATTATATACAGGTTAATTAACGCCGTTGCGGTTATCGAGAGGAAGTCGGAAATTGTCCGGATGCGACACGAACGATACGGTCTTCGTTATCCGCTGTCGCTGACACTGCCACTCGCCACGCCACGCCGCGCGCCGCGCGCCGTGCCGTCGCCGCCGCCGCGAGATAGAGAAGAGCCGCGTGGGAGTTGACACGATCGAGATCGCGATGCGCGTACGGGACCCACATATCGTCTCGCGGATCTCTTTGAATACCCGGAAGATCACCGCGATACATGCATGGAAAATACAATTTTATCAATACGGAAGTGACGTATACGTGCATATGGAATCTGAATAGGATCTGGCGTGCGAAAGCCCGTAGTCGCAGGCTTTGCACACACTGTATCTGGAAAATTTCTCCGTCGCTCGTTAATTCCTCCTTTCTGCAGATTTACACGCATTTTATATCCACTCGCAGATATTTAATCTTTTTCTCCTTTTTGCGAACCTCTCCCTGCATTTTTAACACGCGCGGCGCTTTCAGTTTAAAACCCGAACGAGCGTCGTTCGTTTTTATCCATCCTATCTATCGAAAGTGTAATAAAAGTCCGATTCTTCCCCGCGTATTCAAGTCCGCGAGACAGACATTTCAGTGTACCTATATACATCTATATACATTTACCGTCGAATAAGGTCATGAAATCGCTCATAAATTTTCGTCGAAAATTGGGCGAAGGCAAATTCCGCTCTCAGCGGAGCGCGCACGCTGAGATGTAACGAGAATTACAGGGAAACACTATTCATGAAGTATGAAAAAGGGTAAGGCCGTAAAGCGAAACGACCAGGACTTCCCGTCCATAAATATGGTCTGACCGGTATGAGACGAGTATATGTTATGTAATACCCTCGGTGTATGGCCACTCTCCTCCCCTATGTGGATGATGGCTCAGGAGTTACTTCGGAATTAGCTTAAAGCTCGATAAGCTGCGTAGCGATCGGCCAGCCCCCGGTTGAATTTAACCGGCTAACTTGCATTTCCCAACTGATGGAAAGAGGCATATATCGGTCCCTTAGCTGGCAAGTCAATTATCTTACAAATAATGGAGCGTGCGAGGAATTGGCTTGAGTCATGTATCCTCAACACAGGAGATACGTAGATAAAGCAGGCGCCGCAATTTTCTCAAACGAGCGCGGAATAATATATTCTCTTTCTCTCTCGAAAAAACTAGGTTTACGAGCAAATCTAATTAAAAGTTTAATTTACTGATACAAGACAGTGTTCTTAGTAATGTACGGAGTCTTGCGGAAAGTATAAAATTTATCGGGCCACGGTTAAGTGCTTTATTCTAATTTTAGAGTTCCACAAAATGTATTGTAATAACGACGAAAACTTATAATGATATTATATTTATAACATATATTCATCTCAACTATGTTATTTAAAAATGTATTATATTAAAATTATATCGCAAATATTTAAACGGCATACTTACATAAAAATCAATTAAACCAACAAAACGCGCGGAAGAAAGTAAATCATTATTTAGTTAGTTTATATATAGTTTTGAAGCGATAAAATGACTGAGTACATCATCACAACGCCGTATTTCTATTTCAAGGCAAGGAATCCGAGAAGAATCGGCATCCTGATCATCGCCGTGTGGGTGGTATCCTTAGGAATCTCATTAGCGCCTCAGCTCGGATGGAAGGATCCTGATTATTTGGTCCGCATAGCCCAAGGGACGTGTCTCGTGTCGCAGGATCCTGCATATCAGGTGAGTGCTTCCGGAGAATTGCGAGCGGATCCGAAATAAGTACTTGATTAATATCCACGACTGGGAATTGCGCTCGTGTATTTGGCGAAATCGAGAAAGTGTTAACATCTCGAGAAACGTTACGCGGAATTTTGAGTTATCCTTATAGCCACGTCATAGTCAAACTTTTGCCTGTCAGAAATTATAATGAAAATGTCAGAATGGGGATAGATTTCCATTTTCTGTCTTCTCGCGAGATGAATGTTACCTAGATTTGAAAAGTTATAATTATTTAATGTATACTATACTTATGACGAGGGAAAGATAATCTCGTATATTACTCTAAAGTACACATTTAAATTATATTTTACAGATTTTCGCAACTTGCGCGACGTTTTACGTTCCACTACTAGTTATTTTATTCCTGTACTGGAGGATATTCCAAGCGGCGCGAAAGAGGATCAGGAAGAGGCCCGGCACCATCCTTCAGCCGCCGCGTGAACGAAGGGGCATCCTCAGACTCGTCACGAGAAGGTTGTAGTCATTTTGTTCCCTTCTATATCGATGGAACTCGACCTATTAGGTAGGGTTTCTGATTCGTGACAATAGGAATCGTCCTATTATCACGAATCAGAAACCCTACCTAAATCTCAAACGTATAATCGAACGTGTCATCTTTCGTAGTTGCAATAAAACCGAAGGTTTCGAAGGGCTCGAGGGGTAACAACGCGCTAAGCCACATAGAATAAATCACGCAGCCGAGCTGCTGAGAAATGGCGTAAATCCTTCACAAGATTTAGTCTCGCTCCCCTAATATCTTGCCAAGAAATCACATTCTTTATGGGGTTCATAATTTAACTTGTAAATAAATATTTTTATAGCACGCAGTATTTTATCTCAAGTGGCTTAGCATGCTCTAAGCATTTTTATCTCAATGACCAGTGCAGGCCTTTGCTACGAGAACAAAGGTATGAGTTTACCTGTTGATCGTTCTATCGTCAAAAGAACATTATCACTGCTTAATAATCGCATATCTTCTGAGCTCTATCGTCTTTAAAATAAATTGTGTTTGATATTACAAGCATTAATCTGCCATAAATTATTCTTCATTAAATTATCATTAATATCGTATAACAATTCGCTTAACATCGCTCCGAAACAACGCTGTCGCAATTTATTTTTTTTGCTATACTTCTTTACACTTCTATTAAATGGAAAATAATTTCTCCATCTTTATCTTGCTTCAAAATTCATCAAAAATACATGTAAACTCACACAGATTAATTTCATGTATTATTTTTTTCTCTTCTCTGCACTTATTGATTTAAATAATTATTAACATAATAATTAATTTTAATTCTTCCACATTCTATAGCTAACTGTAAATTAATATACCTTTTAGAACTACTATAGAAAAATGCCGTATCCCAGTATTTATCAAGAAATAAATATACGACTCATTTATACAGCCAACCTTCCATCGCTTCTTCACGACCTCTTCTCTCAACGGCCTTTCATAAAGATTCTTAATATCGCCGACCCCGCGTCGTGTCTCAAACACCGTCATTATTCGTGCGATAACGAGCCGACGACGGATGAGCTTCTCTCTTTCTCTCCCTGCCTCCTTCCCTTTGGCCAGCATAATTACGATTTATCTGATTGTAGGCCGCGCGAGGAGTCGACGGCGTTCACCATCACGAGAACCACGCCGGACCACTCGTCCATCTCGCCGGAGAAGTCGTCGTCGTACAACGGCGCGAACGCCACACCGTCGACGACGGTGACGCCGACGGCGATCTCGACGACGACGACGACCACCACCACGACGACGTTGACGAATCCGACGAGCACGAGCCAGCAGCAGCCGGTGGTCAAGTGCACGAAGCGCACACGCGAGACGATCGAGTCGAAGCGCGAACGTAAGGCGGCCAAGACCCTGGCGATCATCACCGGTGCCTTCGTCGCCTGCTGGCTGCCCTTCTTCTTAACCGCGCTGCTGCAAGCCACATGCCGGACCTGCCAGCCACCCGAGATCGTGTCCAGTGTGTTCTTGTGGCTTGGATACTTCAACAGCACCCTCAACCCCATAATTTACACTGTGTTCTCGCCGGAATTTCGGCAGGCATTCAAAAGGATGCTGTGCGGTGGTACGCGGGGACTTCGCTGACAGTGGATTTAATTCCTTTGCTCCGTGCGCGCGGCCGGATGAAGGGGATACGTGAAGCTGTTGTATATATGCAATATATATATATATATATATATATATATATATATATATACACATATGTATATTGCGCACGCTTTCTAACCCAACGTTTTCCTCGGTGTAATATCTGGATGCCCAACTCGTGTAATAATAGATGCCCAACTCTAAATATTGTTATATTAAGTGGATACCCGCGCGGTCTCATCTGCATATTTTAGATACAACAATATTGAGAGAAATTAACAGTTAACGTTATATTTATTTTTAAATATCTTCTCAAACATTACACACGATACATACACACGATCTTCAAGGAAATTTAACAAGGATGTCTCATTTTCTAGTACAACTGATGTTACCTTATCTTATTAATATATCTTTTATGTTTTTAATGATGTGAATTCCCTCATGAATTTTAGGATATATATTGTTCAAACCGCCTATCCTTGTACCAAAATCGATTCTGGCAGCATCTAGACACGACGGACAGTGTCCAACACACACTGCTTCTTTCCCTCACAGCTGTTCCAGATAATCAAGCCGCGTGCGCCGTTACTCTCGTAGATACTATTAATGAGCATGACTCGTTCTCGAGGTGAACAAAAGTGTAACTGAAATTCCACTTCGCGATTAGCGTTAATTATGTTTAACGTTAATCGACGAATCGAGAACGATTCTGTCTTAGAATATTTTTGCGAAACGCTTCCCTAAATCACCGGATAATCAAACGAACGACAATGGTGCAACATTACTCGCGATTTTGTTTAAGCGGACGAAAATACATATTTCACTGTATATTGCACAGATATTTCAATTTATAAATTTAATTCGCCGGAATTGAGGTCGGAGCACATTTTAACACGTAAACTGGCCGACACACGCACATTGACTTAATGAAAATTCTCGTCGCTCAAGAAACGTAAATTTAAGCTACGATTATAGATATTTTTTTCTTATAAGATATATAGGATAAAAATGTGGATAAGCAACGAGCCATATGAGTATCTAAGTAATATAGATGCTTAAAATTCACAATCTCTAATATTTTATTTAAACAAGGGAAATGTGGAGGAAAACGTAGATGGCTCTGTTAAAAGTTTCGGTTTAGCATTTAGCCGCGTAATGCACGTATGTACAGTTGACGCGAATCGAAGTGAAGGAAGTGAACACTGCATCTCGCATTTTGTCGTCCAGTGAAAGTTCCTTAAGATATGCTCTGACAGCGCGGAAAGAAAATCGCGAGGGGTGCTCTTGCCGAATTATTAATTGTACAGTACCGTGTAATAAGCGCGCGATAGTGCTTAGCGATCATACTTCCGAGCGTCACTGTTAAAAAAAAAAAAAAATAGCTATGTATAAAAAAATTTTCAATCTTGGCTTGTCTCTAAAGTAACGTACGTAATGACAAGTCTGAGTGTACTGCATTGATTAAAATATTCGCGACGGAGCGAATGCATTATATCGATCACAGATATACGGCAGGATGGATTCCCGCCTCCCCTCCGATCTCTGTCGCGATCGCGTGTATAAAAGTCCCACCCTTGAATAAGAACGCAACCTCAAGCTCGACTCGTGCTAGGTACATCTTTACGCTTTTCAACTTGGTTCGGAAAGTTAGGAGTACTCTTTGGGAAATTTCTCAAGCGCGCGCAAAAGATTTCTCGCCGCCTTACGAAGATTTGCTTACGCAACTTTTCTCGTACGGAGTTTTTTAATAAAGAAACTAAATAAGGGTATCCGCGCAACACAAGCGACAGAATTGAATAGAAAGGTCGCACGTATTCTCTTTCAACGATGTTACAGATTTATTTTCACGAATTACGCTTAATGTATAAAAATAGATAATAAACTGTAAACGAGTGACGATTAATGAATATAGTAAGCGCAAATATGAGGGAGAGGAACATATATGACGTCGCAATAAAATATCGCGATCTAAGCTTGTATCGCGGATGCAATGTTAGAATAAAAAAAAAATTGATTTTGCATGTATTACCTGTGTCTAAAATTACAATGTCCGGAAATGTCACTTTTATAGCCTTGCCATTCAATTCTGCGTCTTTATAGCCGAACGTAAGCCTTTGAATTTACATAGTAGTAGGATAAACATCCCGTACTATAGTATTACTGCATAACATGGCGGATGATGTTTAATTTACAGAGCAACGACTGATCGGGATCTGCGTTCACGTATTAAATGAATAGGAATTGAAAAGCGACGAACTTTTCGTTCGTACTTCGAGATGCCGAATATAAGTGCACGTGCATTCATTTCGTTTCTACGTCAACTTACGAGCCACTAGGCGCTCGCTACTTAGGAGTAAACATAGTTCTAGTCTAAATATAATAATGTATTAGGCAGATTGTGATAAACGGCGACAATAGTCTTTCTCTTCGTCAGAAATGACAAGACTTTATTCTACCTAATTTCCAAGTATACACAATTAAATAATATAAAATAAATGCTCTCTCGCTTAAGGAAGTTGAAATAAATAAAAAATACAGAAGATATGTTTGAAATTTACTTTTCATTCGTATTTGTAATTTTCCGCAACTTAACAATAATGGTTATTTATACTAATTTTTATTATACGCTGAATAACACTAAACGTAAATATACAAAATTAAAAAAGGAAAAATTACTAATTAATAAATATTATTTTTATCAGTTCGAGTTGTTTAAATTGAAATTTATGGATAAATTCTTCTCACTTCTGACGACCATTGTTGCTGAAATGACGGCAATATCGGATACGCTTGCGCTATCTAATTATGTCACTGGTCGTCGTTTTACTCACACGACATGACTAATAAAATATAACGTTTTCTTCACGTTCACTTTTTTTTTTTATGTAAGTCTCCAAGCAGAAAAGCAAGGCGTTGTCTGCCGAACATTTTCAGTAATTCCTAAGAGAGATGAAAGTCTCGTCGGCATCGCGATAGTTGAAGAAACAAAAAGAAAAGTAAACGAATACGTTCCAAATATTTTTATTGCGAGAATTGAAATTTATCGCGAAAAATTATAAAAGAGTACATTTTCGTTTGACAACCGTTTAATTTTGCAGATCTAAATATCAGACAAAGGACAGGAAGCCCTGATGATAACGTTAAAGGATCGATAGCGCCGCTCGGTATACCGAGCAAACAATGTTTGATGTGGTTAACACTCATTAATAACGTTCTGTCAAAGTGTCATAACGAAATTGATCGGAAGCAATTTGCGTTTGTGAAATGCGAAATAAGCTTCGGCGATTATACGGTGGCAAAATGTTCAGCGGATAACGGGGAATACCAGGGGTGGATTATGTAACGCTTGTAAATCGACAAACAATCGTATCGACGATCGTTTGCCTTCCCGCAAATATTTTGCCTCGTGTAAGAGATATATATACGAGGGAAAAAACGTGATGAAATTACGAGCACGCGCGCGTCTAGACGAGAGCGCGTTCGCGGAGCTGAGCGTCGAGATGAAACGGATGGTGTAGTCGGCAAGATAAATATTATCTAGCGAATTAAGTCTGTAAGACCACGTAATCATCCAGATGAAAACTTGTTGATATAAATGCCAGGTATGTTCACTTGAAGTCTTACGTCGAAGCATCGAGAGTAAAGAGCGGAAATGAGGAGGCGAGAGAAAAAGCAATATAGAAAAGAATGAGAGACGGGAAGAAAGAGCGCGAATGGAGAGACATGTATTTACAACGATGCTTCATGTGTATTTGTCTTTGCAATCATAAAATGAAATAAATCACGGAAAAGTTTGGAGAAACTTGCTTGAATGGCTTTTCGTGTGTTTGCATTGTCGGAGATATTGGTGTCTCGAAGTTTCCCGCGGTCCCCATTACGCATTGTCGCAGAAGTAATTTTATTTCTCTTGTTTTTTTGTTCATTCCATTAGCCACTTATTAGATTTTTTCAATTACCATTCTATCATTCGTGAGACATCTTTTCAACTCCCACCAAAGACCCACAAAAGACATCTAAATAACGTCACGAGAATCGGAACTCATAATTTTTTTTATCTCACATTTCGCTTTCCCCCAAATTTTCATAGATTGTTTATTTATTATTGTATGTTTATCTTCAATTAAATAAATTAAGTCAATCGATTGCATTTAGATGAAATATAAAAATAATGTAAACTCTTGTTTACACATCCTTCTTACGAAATCTTTTTAGATATTTGCACTATTCGCAGGATGTTGCATGCTTGAAATTTATCTCTGGAAACGCGTCACTGCACGTGATATGCGATGCATTAACGACATCACGAAACGATATTATATTCCTTTTCACGACGATATTCCATACAGGATCGTTTGTGCATTACGAGTTAATGTGCTATGCAACATCAAGATTATTATGGAATATCCGTCGACGCAATTATAAGGTTCCAAATATAACCAACAGTATATATACTATATGTATAATGTTTCATCCTGCCTCGTCGCATAGCAGCTCAAACACGTGCCGCAACTAAAACTGAGAAGTGCAATCCTCGAGATATTAATGTGTTTCATTTACTTAGCGCGACACTTCATTTTCTTATTGTGTATACAAAATGTTGCAAATCTGAACGGTTTCAGAAATAGATTATAAAAATCACAAGAAATAAATTGAAGTACACAACTTTTATTTCGTTAAACTGCATTATTTGAAAACAAAAATTTTATTTTATGAAATTGGATTTAAAAATAGAAAATTAGATTGGATTGAATGAGAAAATAAAAAGTTTTTATCTATAGAAATGGCACAATTAAAAATAAAGTGATTAAATATTTATCTTTTTCTATTTAAAATATAAAGATTACCTAAATTACTTAATAATGTATAGAAAACTTATAGACCAACGTATTAAACTTGCCATTTTTGTTGCACGAATATTTCAGAAAATAAAAGAATTTCTGGTACGTGATACAAAAATGGAAATTCAGGTGAGTAATAATTCTTTGTATTTATACATTGTATAAAAACATATATACAAAAAAATATAATTTAATATCACAGTTGAGATATATTACCAAATGTTTAATTCGTTCCATCTGGTCGTGATCTGCCCGCAACTTTCGGCATCTTTTTGTTCGTTGAATCTTCTATTTCTTTGGGCTTGTAATAATGAGGTGCCACCTCGAGCAGCCATTTGCTTTCAATTTCTGTCACCTACACGATGCATACGTATTTTGAATCTCAATGACGCAATCTCTTCTAAATTTTCGGAATTAAATTTAGATAAATCTATTACTTAATATTCACATACCTGACGCATAAATTCCTTCGTAGTGAGCACGAGTTCGTGATAAAGAAGCCAACGCGGAAGATCCTGGAATAGAGAGCTATTTGGGTGTATCGCGACTTGTTGATTATGCTTAGCAGTTTTGTAACAGCCTCCCTTCGATAAACGTGCCACGTGATAAAAATAACCGGCTGTAATGGCCTGAACAAAAAAATATTTCCATTATTTTACAAAGAATAATATCAATGACAAATAATATCAATGATCAGCATATTGTAATATTAACGTACCTTTCTAATGTTGACTGTTTCTGCAATTCCCGAGACCAATTCCATTTCGACACGCTGCATCAAGCCTACCAATTGTTCTCTAACATCCCGAGCCCGTTTCATAGATCTGGAAAGACAAATCGTAACAAAAATGTACTTTGTGAAACTTTATTAACGTCACGCACAACATCGACATACCTGTGTTGTATAAAATTTTCGTAACACCAATGTGTACTGAAGTCGCTCTGTGCCCATTGATTGTACACGTTAAGGAGAGTCAGATGATCGCCGCCGGGCACGTGGAAATTCTTGCGTGCAGCATCCGCGTGTATAATTTTGTCCTTCGGCCGATAAAAGATAGCGCCGTTCACCGAAAGCATGGCCGCGATAGTAGCTATCTCTTCCGAGCAGCGATACTTCTCGCTGGCTAACAGCATCTTCGCCATCATCGGATCCAGCGGGAACTCGGCCATTCTACGTCCGAGTTTCGTTAGTTCCCCGCGATGATTCAACGCACCCAGTGCGTACAGCTGTTCCATCGCCAAAATCAGTGTCTCGGGCGGTGGGGGATCCAAGAAATCGAAGTGCATCAAATCGTCGATCCCGAGAGCTTTCAAAGTAAGCACCGCGTTACCTAAAATCATCAAAATATTTTAAAAGAAATTTAGGGGATATAACTTAAAGGAGATAAATATAACTTGTAATTTTAACAAGATTATTGATTCTTACCCAAATTAATCCGTTGAATTTCAGGAACGGTGTTATCTTCAAGCTCGTGCTGATAAGCCCAAGCTGTGTACAAACGGAAGCACTTCCCAGGTGCTACCCTTCCCGCGCGTCCCGCTCTCTGATTCGCGGACGCTTTGCTGATCGGCACGACGATTAAACTCTCCATGCCGGTGCGTGGATTGAAATTGTTCTGCTTCGCATAACCAGGATCTATTACGTATACTATGTTGTCTATAGTTAATGAAGTCTCCGCTATATTGGTCGCCAGTACAACCTTAAAAATAAATGCAGAATTAATTAAATTTCGTTCGAAAGAGATTTCGAAAAATTGTTTAGAAGAATTTTCTTTTAAGAAGAATATTACCTTTCTCGCGCCAGGTGGAGTAGGTTGAAATATTTTTATCTGCATATCGCTCGGTAAATTCGCGTAAACAGGTAAAATCAAAAGTTCTGCCAATTTGCTCCCTAACCTTCTCACTCTCTCTTGCAACATTTCCTGACACGTCTCGATTTCCTCCTGCCCTGTGTATAAAAGTACATTTCGTTACGCCATAACGCGAAAGCATTTTAAATATTCTAACACTTACCAGTCAAGAACACCAATATGTCACCCGACGATTGCGTTACGTGAATCTGAATAATGGAAACTACACACGCCTCAATATAATCTGATTCCGGCGCTTTTGTATAATAAATGTCGACGGGAAAGCGACGTCCGGGTATCCTGAATATAGCAGCGTCGTCGAAGAATTCACTGAACTTCGTAGCATCCAATGTAGCCGACGATATTAGCAGCTTCAAATCGGGACGAAACCTCGCGATGTCTTTCACCAGTCCAAATAAAATGTCGGTATGCAAAGTACGTTCGTGCGCTTCGTCGATTATCATTACGCTAAAATATGCAACAAAGAAATCGATTTATTATAATAATTTATCGAAATGCTAAGATTTAAAGCCTGAACCGGTACCGACAATTTTCAAGTATATATTAGAGATTATTCGTTATTAAGTCTTTTATTCTTATTTTCACGTTCTCTCCTCGACTATTTGAGTTTATTAGCAATCAGTATACTAAGATTTAAAGCCTGAACCGACAATTTTCAAGTACGTTAAAGATTATTCGTTATTGTGCTTAATTCTTTTATTCTTATTTCCATGTTTTCCCCCTGATTATTTGAGTCTATTAGCAATACACATAGATACCTGTACGACGCTAAGTCAGGTTCACTGAGGAACTCCCGGTGCAATGTACCGTCAGTCATATACTTGATACGGGTACGCTGTGACGTGCAATCCTCGAAACGAATAGCGTAGCCGACCTCGTTGCCCAGCTTAACGGCCATTTCGTGGGCGACCCTCGCGGCCACCGACATGGCAGCTACACGCCGCGGCTGGGTGCATCCAATAATCTTACCGTCGTCCGCGAATCCAGATTCGTACAGATATTGAGGAATCTGCGTTGTCTTCCCTGAGCCCGTCTCACCTTCTATTATTAAAACCTGAAACACAAATACGTGATGTACTCTCGTATCCTGCAACGTTGTCCGGACACCCTGATGTCCGCTTTCCGCTTACCTGATGATCTTTGATGGCCCGTATCAAATCCTTCTTGAAGACATAAATAGGCAAACTCTTCTTCGTCTCCTGTATCGTCTGCAAACTTTTGACATGCGGGGGCGGACTCTCCTCGCGTTTCTTATCTTGCCCGGGCATATGCAGCACCTGAACAAACTCTATCATCTCGTCCTCCATGAGGAGATTGTATTCTTGTTGAGCTGCAATAGAAGATTGCAAGATTACTTGAAAAAAAGACACAGATCTCGTTGCATTAGCAATTATTTGTCCTCAACAATCTAGTATGTACCTTTCCTATCCTTGGCGCCAAAACGAAAAACAGCTGACGACATCTGATCAGACTCCCACTTGCTTTGCTCCGACTGCGGCGGTTCCTTGTCCGTTGTCGTGTCAGGTTCTTGCTCCGTCTTGCCCTTCTCAAGAGGCATGTGATAGCGTTGCATACGCTCGAGTTCCCTCGCCTTCTCATGCTCCTTTGCCAAGTGCAACAGCTGCTTCTTATGGGATCGTTCATGCTTTTCTCTTTCTGTTAAACTGCATTAAACAAAAAAAAAGTGGTTATCAAATCAATAATTACATCTTAAACAGACATTAATTGTGCATATCCATGAAATTACACGTTGTCGTCAAATAGATATTCGTCGTCGAGGATGTCGGCCTCCAGCTCTGCGACTTTGTCCTCTTTACGTTTCTCCAAGTATTTCCTACGAGACTCAACTCTCAATTTTGGTATCAGCTTATCCTTCGCGTCGGTCTCCATAATTTTAAGCCTCTTTGCCGCCTCGGCTGCAAAATGGGAGAGGGATAATAAGTAACTTCTTCTCAAATGCTAAATATCCATAGACCATCCTGTTTGACCAGAACTTACCAGCGCCGGAACCGGGGAGCGTGGCAACGTTACGTCTTTTACTTTCATCTTTCTCCCTGAGACGGCTGGCAAAGCTGTCTCTCTCCTTGATATCCTTCTTGCGACGTTCCTCCTCGCTGTCCGTATCCTCGCTCGAGGACTCTTCCCGCCTGTACCGGCTGTACTTGCTCATTTTGGAAGGTACAGGTTAGGGTTAGGTTATCCGCGTCTCCTTTGGCCTCCAAACTTTGGGATGCAGGAAAATTAATGTAGCGATAGATACCGCGTGCACAGACGTTCAGAATAGATGTACACTTTGCACGACAAGTAATAAAAAAAATATCAGTTTTTTACAATACTAAAATCTTATTTCTTTCTATCAACGTAACCGGTTGTTAGCCAGTTGCCGAGTTACTCCAGTTTACATTTACACAATACAGTATACACGCCGTTCATTCTTGTGTTTGGTGGCGCCGTGTTGCGGCGTGTCGCTCTGAGAAGTTCCTTTGTTTCCCACTGTCGATAAAATATTGTCCTGTTTTACCAATGTAAATTTAAACTTTCATTTTGGCATATCTCTATATATTTTTTATCTTTTTCTAGTTGTAAGAATTAAAAAATTTAAGATAAAGAGTAAATTAAATTGAGATTAAATTAAGTTAATCTACATAGAAATGAATGAACACAATAAAAATCTTGCTTGGGATTTTTTTTCATATTGCATTTTCTAAGTATTAAAAAAAATAAAATATATTTCGTGTTTATGTAACGCAAAGTATACATATAATATAAAGTATATCTTTAATTATATATTTGTTGACCTTTTACACACGATATATTTATATTTATACCGTAATTTCTTATAATTTTTGCAATTTGCATTTATGTTAATAATTGACTTGAAATGCAATTTCTCTTTTCAGGAAACTCGACAAATCGTTCAATCGAAAAAATAATAGATATTACACTCGCACTGCCCTCGTTCTGTCGTCTTCCGCATTGCATTCACTGTCCGTAACTGCATATAATGACAATATGCTTGCAAATAATACATTTTCACGGTTGGCATATCTTTTTGACTTTACAAAAGGTACGCAGGTACGAGAGAAAATACGGACAGCGCGCATATATCCTATCGATTTTGAACCCGCGATGGCGTCAGGTGTCGCAACAACCAGATGACGTTAAACAAGAGCGTCAAACAAGCTTGCTAACGATAAACAATATTCTCTCCCTCAAGGAAATTTATTTTTTTAACTTTTTTATATATATTTAAGTTATTTTGTTAATTGTTCTCTTACTTAACTTCTCCGCGATACAATATTCATTATAATTTCTATCATCCTCAAATAGTTTCAATCTGGAACCAAGAATAATTACATAAATTAATCAAATTTTGCATTAAATAGTCACGCAAACTCCTCTTGAAAAAAAATATAAAAGCTTAATTATATGTAACAACACTTTTTGCAGTTGTCTCAAGACAAAACATACGAACAGGATCGAGAAAATTTATTATATCTAGATAAAACTTAAGTATAAGTCCTTTCTTACGTTAAATAATTTCATTATTATAAATAGAGGACAATTTGCGATTTTCAAAGCGTCAGATGAGATGCGATATCTCGAAGGAATAACAATCGCGCTGTCAAAATTCAAATAAGTCAGGAAAGGAAAAATGCATTCGCGCAAATTGTTACACGTGTCCGACGACGGCTACGGCACTGCCTGCTCGCTGGGCTAGCAGTCGCTCCTACGTGCTCCTACGCTCGGCGCCGTGCGACCGCCGGGCGCCGCGTCAGTACATGCGGTCTCGCCGCGGCGCGTGGATTGTTTCCTCACGGAGGGAGATATACTCTCTTCGCCTACCCTGACAAGCTCTCGTTCACCATCCGCGCGACCAACCGCGTGCCACGCTCTCGCAAGCCGCTCTCCGCAAAGCACGCGAATTCCCTCGTCCCTCTTCACTCACCTTACGATTTTAAATCGCAAAGGATCGAGGATCATGCCAGCGGACGCCGAACTCAGCAGCCTGCTCAGCAGGCGGCAGAGGATCAACGACGAGCTCGAGGAGGGCAAGGAGGTGAAGAAGCAGTACAAGTTCGTGAACGTTTACACCGAGTTCCACGAGCTGTCGCGCCGCGAGATCAAGCAGTACGAGCAGACCTTCAACAGGTGAATATATTCTCTTTCTTCATTTCTTTTTTTCTTTTACTTGTATACCACGTACACGTCGCGATTGAAAGATACGAGTATCAATGACGGCAGGCCGGAACCGACGTCGTCGCAGCGTCGCGTTTAGCTCTTTAAAGGTTTCAGTTCGTTGATGTTATAAAATGTAATTTTATATATATATATAAAGAGAATTAAGATTAAAAGAATGAATTAAATTATAAAAAAGATAATAAAAAGGTTGCTGCAATATATAACATATTTTTATTATTACATTTTATATTACATTGTATAACATCTGAAAATAAACACACTGCTAAAATTGAACGGAAAGTTCGTTCCTTTTTTTTTTTACTAAGAAATGGCATTAGTATAAATATAAAAAAAGAAACTTTTTGTTTATATATATATAATATATGTGTATGAGATCTATTAGAATATTTAATTAAAACGCAATAGTAATTGTAATTAAATTTGTTTTTACATTACAATAAAATATTCAAGCTTTTAAGCTAGAACGCTTTCTCTTTCGTTTTCGTTCTCTTGCGTTTTCGTTGGAATAAATTTAAATATTTTTTCGCGACGCGACAAAGACAGTCGTCGTTTGCTGCTTCGCTTAAACGTACCTGCGACTTTAACTGTTGGAGTTATATATAGCATTATCAACTTAATAGGCGTACTCTGCCTAGCTGTTTATTTTTACGAGTCAGCCTGGAATATAACACGCACGTATAATCAGATGGAGATAAATGTTCCTTCGTGTCACGATCGAGACTTATCGTCATTGAGACGAAACGTTATTAACGACAAACACTTTCGAATCAAACGCACGCGTGACTGCAAGCAAACTTGTTTCGACAACTATCAAATCTGACTAATATATAACTATAAATATAATATGAGAGAAATATCATTTGCACTATCGACCTATTTCCACTTACTCGGTGAGTCACAAAAAGTCTTATCAGGATTAATTTAACTTCTCCGAAATATAGTGTAATTTAAAGAAGCAATATAACAGTATGTATGTATTTTTCTTATCTAGCGTGCCCCTCCACCTCACATAATTGCACACATATTCTTATGTAAAATTGCTGTTCGCTTTACTGATGCGCCATTCGGCGTAACGTTGGAAGGAAATTTAATTATATACGACTTTATACACGAATTTTCTCTTTGCGCCAGCAATCGATCGAGCTTGATTCTAAACGCGATCGCGTAGCCGCTGCACCGATTTGTGCGGCTGTGCGTTAAGCCGCACGCGATATCATCACGTTAATAAACGTTGTTGCCTGTACGAGCCGCTGGGGTTTCACTCCGCACGCGGGCACGTCTTCATTAGAATCTCTTTGCGGATTTCTCGATTTAGAACAGAAGAACACCCCTCTCACACGCGACGTCTCGCGAGATTTCCTACAGCTAATCTGACAACGTCCCGCTGCGCGCTATCATCGCCGCTTAATTGCCGCATCACGCGCACCTTTTGCGATAACGGACTTCATTACGGAACCCACGAAACTGTCTGTCATTTATAATGCGGCAGAATTATAAATAGCTGCATGTAGGAGATCCCAGATAGTCGAATATATATTCCTAATAGTTTCAGCCTCATTTCCCACTAAACGATTTATGTATGTTATTGAAGTAAATCGCTATGTGCCGTGTTCGTTCTTGTCTTCGTAACAACTTCATATACCTGAGCACCCACCCCACTTCACCGACCGTTGTCAAACTCCGACCTGCTACCACGTTTGACTTCGAAATTCCTTACCTAGTCTGAGACACAAAGGGCGTAGGTACCGGGGACCGGGGCGAGGGGGACGCGGCGTGAGGGCCCGCAGGGACCCCGAGGTCGTCTGCCCTCTTGGCGCAGCAGCTTGCGTTTCTTCTCCCGAAGAAATGCACGTCACGAATCTCTCGGCGCTCGCGGTTTCGTAATGACCGAGAGCGTGCAATTCTCCACGATTCTCCCTGCGATTTTCTTTTTTTCTCCGGCGCACCTTCGTCGGAAAACTACGTCTTCTTCTTCTTACGTTCTCCGTTAATAAATCTCACGGCGTTGTAGCCAGCGGCGATCGTGGAAGGTTGAACGATTGTCGATTTTCCAAGAAGCGCCGTTCGTTCTTTGTTAGCAGGTCAAAAGGGAATCTAGAAACAAGAAGTACGCTAACAGTTAAATTAAGAAGTGAATTAATAGATTGGAAGAAATTTGAAATTAAAGATCTCGCGCATTTATTATATTTCAAACTTATCATCACCGAATGCATATCGCGTATATAACAAGCTTTAGATGAAAGGCGTATTAAAAAAATTCAGATAAAGGATTAATTTATTTTTTTCGGAGGATTAAAAATGCGATCCTGACCCTTTCGCTGGAAGGTGAAGCATTTAATATATTAATACCGAGTCGCTGATATCGCGGCGAGAGCCGGGGTAGCGGGAGAGGAGGGAACGCGCAGGCATTTCGGAGAAAATATGTCGCCGTACTCCTACGATTTATCGAGGCCCGAGGTTGCAAAGGTAACCGGTTTTCGCGGCGACAAGACAAGGACGACTTCTCGACACGAGCGCACGACATGAACGCACAACAATCATCGGTCCTTCCGGATGACGAATCGCGGCACGCAGCACGCGCAGGATACGCACGTGCGCGCTGCAGGCAACAGAGAGAAACTCTCTCGTGCCGCCGTCGAGAGGCTTTTTCCCTTGCGGGTATTTAAACAGAAAGGAAAAGTCAATCATCCATCGGTATGTATAAGGAATGTACACCAAATCGGTTGCAGTTTGCGAAGTAGAGCATTACGTAAAGAGTGCGGAGTAAAACGAGATTTCTATATAGCGTGCAACGTATCGAAAGTGTATATAAGTCTATCGTTTGCATATTGCTTCATTAAAATGCATCGATTCCATTCATCGTTAATGTCCACGTAATCTCGCGGATCGATTGGATTTTCTAGTTTCAATGCTCGCTACTTCGTAGAAGATTCCACGAGCGCAATTCGTTCGTGCCAACAAAGGCACGGCTATTAAATCTGCTCGTGAATTTATCAACCGATCCGATATAAAAGTGCCCGTGTCTCGTCGTTGAAGTTCGAGGGGGACGTAAATAATTATTTTCTTAATCGGTAACCCGATATATATTCACCGGCCAGACGTTCTATCGTCAACCAAGACTAAATATAACGCGTCTCACTGCGGTTATAAGTACGATGATACGCGATAGTACTCGGATGCGTTCACGTAGGCTGTGGTTTATCTATCCAACATTTCCTGCACCGGGGACTGACTTGACTGAGTCGAAAGTGGCTCTTCGGGCTCGTTATTCTCGACGAGTTTACTCCTCGGGAATTCATTCAGGAAGCTGGTTTGAAGGGGCCCGAAATCGGCGGACCCCACGGTTGACCCCTCCGGTCGGGTCGTGGACCGAAGACTCGTGTCTCAATTAACTGCTTAAATCCTTAATTTGAAGAGCTCGGAAGCCGGCTTGACATCCGCTGTCCCGATTGACCCTTTCGTCCTGTACCACCACTGCCGAATGCGGTGTTCCGGTCATTAATTGGAAACATTTGATTCTCGACCGAGAAAAGAAACAATGCACGCGAATCGATACTTCGCGTGCAAATAATTATATTTCCCGTCGCTCGAAAATTTAATGCTCGTGCATTGTTCAAGTACTGTACGTTATGATTTTACGTTTGTGATAGTAATGGATATCTATTAGTAGCACGATAGCTATCATTCTTTTGATGAGAGACATGAGAAATACGTTCGTATCTACTCTTTATTGAGAAACTCCTGATGACCTGCACTGCCGCGACTCGCGCGAGGTCGAAAGTCGAGGTTTCCACGACTCGATTGAACGCGCGCTTAACTTTCCCCGTCGCAATGATACAGCGAGTAGGTGATCGATTCGTCTTTATACGTGTACGCGAGGAACGACGACCTTAACCCTTTCGCCGCTGAAGTAGGTGAATGCATATGCATTCGAGCGTGCGTACGTCGGAATCGATAATTTCATGTAGAAAGCGACGAATAACGCGGAAAAACCAACATCCCGCTTCCTCAAAGCTTCTTGATCCGAAGTCTTGTGTTACAATCTCAAAACTTTCGCAATTTTTCCAGCGTTCTCGAATATATTTCGTGCAGAAATATCTTACTCACATACCGCGATCATCCGCGTTATCCGTTAAGAAATAATTAGACGGAAATATTTCGATGAGGAATTTTTAATGGAAGTTCTCTTACATTTTTCCTTTTTTTTTTGGTCCCTTACAAAGATTCGAACAATCCTTAGGCACTTGCATCGGCACGGCAGACCGTTATCTCCCGCGGTCGTTCCACGAAGAAATCGCGCGTTCCGAATGTACAAACGCGGCGTAAGAATTTATTCTTACGGCTCGCAACGATGGAAGACACTCGGTATTCCTAGCAGCCGACGTCGCTAGACATTTTAAATAATGTTTCGTTGATGGGAAGCGGCACAGCGTTTTTCATGGGCGGCGTTTATCCCCGTTTAGGATAGAACTGCTTCCACGGTTCAGAATGCGCCTCGCGACTCCTTGCGACGTCGCAGAATTCTAATCTGCGCGCCGCGTATATGAACTCCTCTTCTCCCGCAAATCTCACATACTAAATTGCGACGCGTTGCGTCCCTCGCAGAGAAAAGATACTAATTAGTTATTATAGAATAGACGGAAGCTCTTTAAGAATGGAAAGAGAAGATCCGACACGTTTTCTTTACTTAAACGGCACAATAACTCCTTCTTTCGCGATAAAACAACATCTAATGCAATATAATGCGATAGCAAACAAAAGATGTTAATCAACTATTGAAATCCTCAGGCTTCGGAATAAGCGCGAAATATGAATTTAATCTTGATAATCTTATCGGGACGACTTTTACTTCACACATCAAATTAGCGTTACCGCAATTTCACACGGTTAACAACGTAGTAGAAAAATATGTTGCTCATCCGTCAAAGCCAATCTATTGAAGTTTACAC